AAAAAGGCCCCCAGGGCAAGTTATTTACAGTTTAATTGCCACTGTCAACTGATCGGGACCGGGACCGGGACCTGGACCTGGACCGGGACCTCTGGCGATCCACAGATGCTGGAGACTTCGATCTACTTGAAGAACCACGTTTCTGGCTCTTCTCAGGTGCAGGAGACCTACTAACAGAACGGGACTTGCTCCGGCTCCGGCTCCGGCTCCTAGACCGGCTGTAAGACTTCCGACTCCGAGAACGAGATCGGCTACGAGACCTAGAGGAACTCCTGGTCCGGGAACGAGACCTGCTTCGTGACCTACTATCAAGGGAAAAAAAAAAAATACAACTTAAGTGTCAGGCCCTACAAATCTATAAAATAATACTTTCACTTAAAAATATTAAAGAGATACCTGTGCCTTTTGCTGCCTTCAATTAATTTGATTTTTCTCCCATTTATTTCTTTTCCAGAAAGTTTTTCAATAGCATTCTTTAAGTCACCATAAGAGGCAAACTCAACCACCCTACAAAGAAAAAAAAATTTGTAGTTATACACATCTTATGGTCTCACAAGCTATAAGACTCTACAATAGATTTTCTTTTCTACGTTCATTTTGCTATTACTATAATCAAGTCAACTCTCAAAGGATAACGCATTAGAATAAGGTTTCTCAACCTCTGAACTGTTGACATTTTAAGCCAGACAATTCTTTGTTGTGGGGGCTTTCTTGGGCATTGTAGCATGTTTAGCAACTTTCCTGGCCTATATCCACAAGATGCCAGTAGCATTCTCAACCAGTGACGACAACCAAAATTCTCCAGACACTGGCAAATGTCCCCGGGAACCACTGCATTCGAGCATGCACATGTTCTAAGTACTCAGAAACATTCAAAGTAAACATTTCCAAAATATTTTAAAAGGCTCTTATTATCTTCAGTACATACTCACCCTTCATTTAATTTAGGTCGATGTGCATCCGCAAAGGTTACTTCCCCAGCTTGTCTCATGAAATCTTTGAGATCCTTAACACAAGACAATTGTGTTAAGCAGAGAAAAGGAAACGTGACACACAAACAACCACATGGTATAATAACAAAACTACTGAAAGAGAAGATGTTAGATAAAGTACAAACATGGCATTTACCACACTTGTATTCTATCAGAATTCAAAAATTATGTCAGGGCACGAAATAAGCAAATAGCATATTGCTTTTAAGCAAAATGCTTTAAGGAAATTCAAATTTTAACATTAAATAGTATTAGTCTATACTGAGCTCAATACAAAAGGAAAACAAAAAACAAAACAAAAAAAAACAGAACAAAAAGAAATACTATTTTTAAAGACTAAAGTAGAAATTTTATATTTAAAAACAAAACATTTACAAAACACCAGTTATTTTGTGCCCCATATGTCATTAAAAAAGTTTACTTTACCTTTATTATTATTTCCCTAGGCTAGTCAAGCAGCAAACCGTTAATCGGTCGAAGAAACCTTCATGACATATGCCCGACTGGCTCTTCGCCACCCACTTGAAGGACACTACCCAATCGATGGAAGCCTTTTATCGCACAGCCCTCCCTATTAGCGGACTACTGGCGGATGCAGACATGTTCTACTCTTGTGCAGTTACCAAGGACCACTTTACTGCGATCAGGATTCCAACGACCACCTAATTTCGTATCTTTCAACTCTTTCGACCAGGACCTCTTATTCGGAAGCGTTACAGGAAGACAGCTCTCAACTTAAGGATCAGATCACGTTATCAGCGCTCTGGGATCGCTGCAACCTGGCACTTCAAGTAAGTGCCCCGATTACGTCTAGACCGGCAAACACAGATCTAGAGGTGGCCAATTGATCACTGTAGGAGCTGACTGGCAAAGTCAACCAGGCCCAACCAAGAGTGACCAAGACAACGATTAGGATAACCCACAGGCACTCCTCGTCATAAGGCCAACGACACAGATAGGCTGGCAAATAAAGGGTTTAATATTTGGTTAAAATTGATTTTAAAAACAAGAAAAAATATCCTCAAAACATTTACATTTGATCACTAATATTAAAGTTTGAAATATCCCCCAGTTACGTTTAATTAAAAATTTAAAGTTATAATTAAGTCCATTAATTTAATTAAAAATAAAACTACTTTTAATAAAATATTAATAAAACATTAGCTACCCATTAGTTTTTAAAAAGCCACATTAAAATATCTCAAAACTGAATTACAACAAACCTGCCAGCTGACTCTTGAAGATAAATTCTCAACTATAAGCCGATTTTCTGTTCTTACTGGTGGAGCATTTCTGAAGAAAGAAACAAGTATTCACAATGAAGAAATGCAGCAATGTGTACTTATTTTGTTCAATTTTGAGCAAGTTTAACAGATATGACAAGTCATTCAAATGACTTCATCAACAGTTTCTGAGTTATTTTGTGACTCATTACACAGATCAGAAATACTGGACATAGGAATAACAGAACTGACTATATGGTTAAGTACCAGATCACGTATTGCTAATGGTTCTTAATCATTAAATACTCCTGCAATAATGATTGCTCAAAGCAGCCATCACATACCGTCTATCATTTCGAGGTCTGCGACTACTGAAACGGTCAGAATAGCGTCCTCTACCTCTTCCCCCTCGGGATCGAGCCCGAGCATGTTCAATAGTAACCCTAGAGGAGGAAACAAAAACCTTCATGATTCACATAGGCTATGAGAGACCTAGAAAGGTACCCCAAACCTAGAATGCTCTACTTTACAATGCTAAATAGTCGTAAAACTAAAAATAAGACTCACCTTTCACTACAAAGTTCTTTTCCATCAAGTTCATATACAGCATCATCAGCATCCCTGGGGTCCTCAAATTCCTAAAGTATAAGCATGAAAAAAATATAATGCTTAACACGGTTTTTAAGATCTATTCTGCAACATATTAAGAGCATTAAAAATATGTAACAGAATGGGAAGAAGACCAACTTAATGACAGCGCTATATAAATAATAAGTCTAATTGAAAAGTGGCCAGGACTGATTTCCTCCAGCCAGCAGATTCTTTTGCTCACTGCCTTAAGGATGCATAACATTTCCTAAAGATACGCTGCCTGTTCTCAGTAAGAGCAGATAAACGTTACTTGGCAAAACCTTTACGAAGTTAACAACAGATCATTCAACCAGTTCTACCGAAATACTTACCACAAAACCAAAGCCTCTTTTGAGATCGATATCTCTTATTCGTCCATACCCCTTGAAGAATCTTTCCACATCTTTCTCCCTGGCCGCTGGATTTAGCCTCCCGATGAACACTCGACAGCCACTCATAACGCCCGGCTAGTATTTCCTATCAGAAAATCATTCAATGAGACACCACCAGTGAATGTCAACGGAATACCTAATCAAGGGATCAAAAACATAAACAGCATAAAATAAAATGTTTACCGGGTGATGTTATAAACAAGATTGCCAAGAGTGCCTCTTATTAGGCCAGGTCCCTTGCAGACAAAATTAAAACTCGGCTCCCAACACGATCCTTCCCTGGGCCCAGAACACAGCAGCCGCAACGCCCACTGCCGCCTCTGGAACTGCGCAGCCTCACACTCTCCCCGGCTCTTCTGGCCCCCTCCCATCTGCCGCAGTTAGGAAAGGCCGAGAAGTGCGGGCGGAGCCGGCCCCGCCCTCCGCAAGGCCAGCCCAATGACGACGGGCCGTGCGCGCGTCGCCGCCTCCCAGGAGCGTCACAGCGGGTGGAAGACGGAATCTCGCGACGCCACGGCCACGCCTGCGCAGATGGCGGCGGGAGGACGCTAGGCAGCCACAAAATGGCGGCAGGGGAGCCGGCGGGGGGTGGGGGGTAAAGAGCCGCGCGTGCCAAATTCCCTTCTCTCCCCCTCCCCCGACTCCACCACTCCGGAGTCACCGTACCCGCCCTCAGAAAGCCCGAACCACACCCCGAGCAACGCTCTCGGCCCACTATTCGAGGGGTTCGACTAGTGAATCGGAGGCAGGGAGGGGCGCACAACCCCCTCCGTGTAAAAACGACCGTAACCACGACCGCCCTTCCACCTTCACTTCCCCTCAAACAATTCCCAAAGGGAGACGTGCCCCAGCGCCCACCTCGAATAAACTGCGCTCATTGGACGCCGTCCTCCGCAAAGAGAGCAGCCCTGGCCACTCGCGATCTGAGTAGCCATGAAGAAGCCTCGATCCGAGAAGCCATTCCCTCAAAGTGAGCCACTCACCTACCGGACAGGATCTTTGGCAGCTGAGACCCAAGAGAGGTCCGTAGTCTGCGACGGAGCCGTCTACCTCCCCGCAGACCAGGACTCAACTCGTCTACGTCTCTCCACAACTGACGCACTTAGTTGCTCTGGCGTTCCACAAAATGGAAGGCGCGTCTTTGCGTCACTTCCGGGGCCGCCCCCTTAGATCCAGGGACGGAAGTTTCCGAAGAGCCGGGCCTTTTTATGGTGACCGCCTGAGCGACCTTAGCCCGCGGTGGGCGGGGCGAACGGGCGGGAACTGGCGTAGGTGCTGTGTCAGGTTCTTGGCGCTGGAGGGGCGGCCATTGAAGACGTTCGCTCTCCTTAGGCTGTAAAGTTCGTTTCTGCAAAATCTCTGGCATAAAAATACCCTAAGACAAATAACGTCCTTTTTTTTATCTGAAGCTTTTTTGTAAGGTGACCTGAAGAGTACTGGGTAAGAGAAATTCGGGCTTTGCAAAAGTATCTGGGCATCCCTGACATCTTCCTGCTGCATGCAATTTAAGGTTGCACATTGGAGGACGCTCCTTGATGAGCAGTGCATCTTTTAACCATAACATGGACGTATTAAACCACACTAGTTATAGTAAGAAGACTAAGAAACTGCACTTTTTTTTAAAATGGAAGGTTTTTGCGTGATAAAAGACTGAAATTGGGACTGCCGTTAGAAGGCCATCTTGAATTGAATCCAGAATGAATTCTCCGTTTCTACTGCACAAGCACTGTGCTAGCTAGAAGAGGTTTCAAGCTCATCTGAATCCAAACGATATTTGGTTAACCCTCCCTGTTCAGGTTTCTGTAATGTAACACATGAAAGTCTACATTCTTGAGAAACAATATTGTGTTTTCAAAATCAATGTGAAATGAAGCCCTCCACATCAACTCCTCTTTCCCAGTAAGGTTGTCAGGCTTAGAAATTTGGGCATGAAGACGGTGATAAGCTTACTTTTCTTTAATACTTTTAAGTGGAACGCAAAGCACCCCATTTTTGAGAGCGGCCCAGAATCTAGGGTTGCTGCTTGTAACTAGAGTTACACAGAGATAAAGTAGTTCTAAGAGAGGAGCTACCAGCCTTACTCTGACCTCCACTGACCACTGGGGCATTTAGGAACTCTGGATTAGAACTTGGACAGTTCATATAGCATGAGCTAGTCCATTCATGCATTTTTATGTTTATTTTAAAAAGAGCGTCAGCCGGGTACACAGCAAAATTGTGACGTTATCTATTGTGTGGGGAATTTAAAAGAAAATAGGTGTTTAAGTTAAAACACATCTGTAGCTGCTAGCCTGATAAACATTGACATTTGATAATGCACATATTGTCCCAAGCCAGTACTTATTTAATTAATTTGTTTGCTTTCTGCATAATTTTTTTAAAAATCAGTCTTCCAATTATTTTCTACATTTTGTGTTGACTGTGAAACAACGGCTTGTGATTTCACTCACTAAACATTATTTTTGCTGCAATAAGAGATCTGGAAAAGGTATTCTGGGGTAAAAAAAGAAAAAAAATGGTGCTGTACACCATGTAAACAGTTGGTGCCTTAACCCCTTGGTGTTGTGATTTTCTTTGGGACTGATTTTTTTTTTTTTT